CCTCCCCTGACCCCCCAATGGGTTTAACCCCCTTATAAATATATTTAAATATATAAATATCATGAATACATTAATTGTCATCGCCCTCAAAACACAAGCACTAAAAGCCAGCGTGGTCCCAGCGTGGACTCACTTTGTCACTGAACAGACAGCGACACACACCTGAATACACACACACACACACACACACACACACAAAAGTCATTACATCTTGGCCACATGTTTCAGCCTCAACAGCTTTCTCATAAACACACACAGACGTACACTCCACCCTTTGTAAAAATAGTTTCGCACACACACCCACACACATATCCAGATGATTCCAGCTCCTTCTTCTGACTTTACAACACCAACGGTTTCTCCCTGTCCTCCTCTGTTCCTCACTTCTTGTTTTTTTCTCTCTTCATGGATCAGCAGAGAGAACAATTACATCAGCGCGGCCCGGCGGCCTGGAGATGAAGAGCTGCGTGGCTGTGGGCGAACACCTGGCCACGGTTAGAGGAGCAGAGCAGAAGACGCCTGAGCGGCCGATCTGCTGCAGGTTCTCTGGGCGGCGGGGAGGCCTCGAGTCGAGGGTGTGTGTGTGTATGTGTGTGTGTGTGTGCGTGTGCGTGTGCCGGGGGGTTGACTTCTGATGGGGTCGGTGAAGCACGAACGTGAGAACCTCGTCCATGTGTCCGTGTGTTTGTGCGTCCGTTTGTGCACCAGACCAGTGGAGTGGAGTGAGCGAGGCCCTAAAACAACCGCGTATCACAAGCAGTTAGCATAACAATCCCTCACGGCGGTGAAAACTCCAAAAAAGTTTCCGCCTGTCCGTTCAGCCGGCGTGTCCCTTTCTACTTGTTGACAAGAGCAACAGCAATTTGCATTACAAAAAGGAGCAGTTTGAAAAATATGCAGAAAACATGTCATCTCTGATATGGCTTCAAAAAAATCCTTCAAACACAGAAAAAAGAAAGCTGCGGTGCGCCCAAACTCACATGTACAGAGGACAATAGAACGTAAAGTGCTTGATCTGCTGCCATTCCCTCAGATCTGTTGCTGAGGGATATTAACTTTTATGTGAAAAGAGAAGAAAGAGCTAAAAAGGTCCAAAGGACATAAAAAAGTATGGGGGGAGGGCAGGAGGAGGGGGGGGGGCGGTTAGTGGGGTTGCGTAAGGATCACAGATCTGCTCTTTGACCTCAGTCTGACCTCCGTGAGGCCTCAGACAGAGATGTGATCGCCATCTGGCCTGGATTACCAGAACTTCACACCAGGTGGTTCTCTTTATACAGTTAACATGCTGTAAATAGAAGAACTGTTAGCATCTTTTAGCCGTTGTTTTTGAGATTAACGGCATAATATGAGCTCTTCAATTTATTTAACTAAACAGAAAAACAAACCAATTTTCCCAGTTTGGTATCAAAAAGGTTTGATCTAATCCAATCTAATCTAATCTAATCTAATCTAATCTAATCTAATCTAATCTAATCTAATCTAATCTAATCTACATCATCCTTTGATTCATGGCCAACATAAATAATGTGTTACCTGGTCCATTACTTTAAAATAAACTGTGCTGACACCAGCATTACCTATGGCTAGCACTAGCTCTTATTAGCTTTAGTGCTCACTAGCATTAGCACTGGCAAAACTGAAGTGATACACATCAAGAATAATCACAAATTTATCTCACTTTTATCTTAATCTGCAAGTAGCACTGACATCAATCCCAGCAGTCATTGGGTAAGTGGGGTGCACGGCGTGGTCCAGTCCAGTCCACTAGTCCATCACTGGGCCAAATATAGAGATAAACACACTCACATTAATGCCCATAAAGTAGTAGAGTCGTCATGTTTTTGAATTGTGGGCTGCGTCGTTGCTAACCACTTAACTAGCGTGCTAATCTGCATTTTCTAAGATGCTTAGCATTTCTTGCAGAATACAAACAGATGGCACATCAAGGCCCACAGAGTTTACAGTAATTGATTTGCTCCAGATGTAGGCTGCGGCTAATGCTAATGCAGTCAGACTCTATGCGATCGCTGTGGCCTCAGCCAACTCGCAAGCACTTGTTGCAGATGAGCATAGAGCCCCAGCATGCCTCCTAGCCAATTAACAGCAGAGTCAACCCAAACAGATCCAATTGATAAATCTTTAATGATACCAGGGATTTTACACAAACGCACACTTGACAGTGCTAATTTAAAGCAAATAACAAGCTTGATTAAAAATTCCCCAGGCATGGTGGGGGAAGATAAATGTTTGAATCATTTATCAGATTTAATTGACGCCGCTGTGCTGTTGTAAACAGACATGTTTTTTGATGTCGGTAATGCATTTTGACACGCAGAGAATTTGGGACGGTTCCAAGGAACAGAGCGGTGCAAGAGCCCGCTAGCAAACAGTACCAGAGATTTATGATAAGTGGTGTATTTAACACGGGGAATTAGACTGTAATATTGGATGGAATTACAACTCAAAAGTCGAGAAGTCACAAATGTAGTAGAGTCGAAGGATGTTTATTTTTTAAATAGTAATAATGTCTCTTGAATCAATGGGAATACAAGAAACACAAGTTAGAAGGATGAAAACGGAGGAAGTGGAACCTATAACCAGTATTTTTTAAAGGTATACTACTACACAACTACACAAACCATCATCATAATTATGTATAAATGCAAGAGTGTTAAGATATACTACTACACAACTACACAAACCACTGGCTGCGTATCATAATTATGTATAAATGCAAGAGTGATATGTAAAAAAAGGTAAATAATATGAAGGAACAGATTTTTTTTTTTTTGATTTAGGTAGTAAACGCTAAAAACATGGAAAATGCTAAAAGAAAACATTCGGACCAGAGTGAACCCCGCCCCCTACTTTCAGCCGTCCCACGACTCTAAAAAGAATTAAATGATAGAGGATAAAATACAAGACAAAAATCATGAGGGACATGGAACAAGTCCACAGTGATGGCATTGGGTGAACCCATGTGGGGATCACGACCCCTAGGTTGAAAAACATTGTATGGCCATGTATAAATGCAAGATTGATATTTTAAAAAAAGGAAGTAATATGAAGGCACAGAATTATTTTTTTTTGGTGAAGTAGTTATCGCTAAAATCGTGCTAAAAGAAAACATTCAGTTCAGAGGGAGGGAGAGAACCACGGCCTCATGGCACCAACTGTTTTGTTGTCGGTGCTCGACCCCGATAAGGTGGTTAAAAATGAAGTCACCACCTCGACGTTGTGTCATGAGGAGAGACACTATAAAAAGAACAGAGGCGACGATGAAGTAATCCACAGACGACAGGCTGACAGCGACATGAAGACATGGAGGCTGTAACACAAAAAGACAGCAAGATGCAAAGACACAGACAACAAGACGCAGTCGCCCCCGACCGCCTCCAGGTGATGTAAGTAATTGGCACCATTTTGTTTTCCCCCCCGCGTTCAATTTATTCGACAGAAAGACTCCACGCCTGCACGCAGCCGACAGCGCCGACCGCGCCTGAGAAGAGAGGAAGGCTAGGAGCCGAGCCCACGTCTCGACACGTGCGTTTATGTTTCCTGACAACGTATGGCAGCCGCATCAAAGGAAGTTTCACCTTCTGCAAAGGAGGCGAGGGCGGAGCGAGCGCACGAGGCCTCGCTTTATTAACTCCCAATCAATAAACATGCACTCTGTGGCAGAGTAATCAGGAAACGGCGGCGGACGGCCTGACAGCGTATCAAAGCCGACGCTGCGAGGCAACGGCACAAACTCTAACAAGCATTTTATTACCAGTAGCTGTTACTGACATTAGTCAAAAACCAAGAGAGATTAAATAGAATAAGGGATTCAGAGATGCTGGGGGAGGAGAGGGAGGGGAGGGAGGGGAGGGAGAGACCCCTCAGCCGGGAATCTGCACCTCACGTGCACGCCTCTGCTTTGACATGATAACAAATATAAATTGTTTAAAAAAACATCAAATGGGCGGAGCAGCAGGAAACGTCTGGTTATGGGTGGTGGTGGTGAGGCTGCGGGTGAGGGAGCGGGAGACAGCTTCTTTTCACTGTTATACTGTACATGCATATAAATATATATACATATATACTGTAAATATATACACATATACATCCATATATAAATACATATATAGGTATAAATTTAAAATATTTCAATAGAATAAAGAATTCTGAGATTTACGTAAATCAACAAATCCTGCTCTTTGTCCTTGTAAAAAATACAATTCAAATCATTCATTTTCATCCAATGAGATTAAAGCAAAACGTTAAATTAATTGGAATACATTGAGTTCAGTTGAAGTAGTTGAAAGCTGTAGTTGTAGCTGAGTGTTTTTGTTTTGTAATAAAACTACAAAAATAGATGATTCTGTGTCAACAGTGACCTCACCCCTCTGGTGAGTCTGCAGAGTCTGGCTGGCACAGTGATGAGGTGGCGCTGCCATGATGGCGACTCGCCCCCTGAAGATGACACGCCGGTGAGAAAGAGAGCCGAGAAATGAAACTCCTTCTAGTCCTTCAGCTAATTTGTTTGTTTTATTCCAGGGGCCGGAGCTCATATTAGAGAGTTGACACAGAGTACGGGTGAGGAGGAGGGGGGGGGGTGAGGGACGGAGGAGTTTACAGTACAAAGCCTCAGGTGTGGTGAATGGGTGAGTGAGAAGATGCAGAGAGAGAGAGAGAAAGGAAAAAAAACTCGTCCAAATAATTTTCTGCCTGTGGCTGCTGAAATGCAAATCACAGATCAAAGAGGTTGGGGATGAGGAGTGTGTAGATTGGTGGAGAATATCATCAAACTGAAGGTTATATATGTATGTGATGTGAGACACGCTGGACCCAGGTAATGGAGCTGACCTGTAGTTTGAACACCGCACACCCCCCACTGACTGCGTCCTCCTCCTCCTCCTCCTCCTCCTCCGCTGCCTTCTCTCAGGTTCGTAGTGTGTACAGAGAACAGGGAAGTAATTGTCTCCTTACATCACCTTTCTCCCCCCCCCCTCTCTCTCTCTCCCTCTTTCTCCCCCTCTCTGTTCCAGTTCAACTCCTCTTCTTCAGCCAGTGAATGTGAAAGTTACACGGCAGCTTTTCTCAAAGCAGTGGCCAATTTCACCCCAACACGCTGATGCTCAGCTGGCGCTGGGGCAGCGCGGCTGTTTGTACCGTGTGGTCAGAGGCTGTTTCTGTTAGCTTAGCGCATACTGCAGAGAACGAGCGAAATCACACCGACGTCAGGTGCTGGAGTCAAAGGAAGTTAGTAAAACCATTCACTTCTCCCTGAAAGAAATCCACCTTTAATAAACATCAAGATGCCTTTCAAAATAAAAGCCTTTTTTTTAAAGCCGACATCTCACACTCAAAGGAGTTGAAGGCCACATCAGTGGTCCATGATTTAATATTTTTTACATTTTTTAAATCTGTTCAAGTGGAAATTTAAATTTTTGTTGACACATTCACGGGCCAGAAATGGTCCTCTGGCCAGGAGTTTAGTTCCCTTGTCTTAAAGCCTCAGGATCACCACAAAATATTTAAATCATCCTCCTACAGACACCGTCCTCCTACAGACATCGTCCTCCCACAGACATCGTCCTCCCAAAGACGCCGTCCTCCCAAAGACATCGTCCTCCTACAGACACCGTCCTCCCAAAGGCAGAGTCCTCTCACAGACATCGTCCTCCCACAGACACCGTCCTCCTACAGACACCGTCCTCCTACAGACACCGTCCTCCTACAGACATCGTCCTCCCACAGACACGTCCGCCCAAAGACGCCATCCTCCCAAAGACGCCGTCCTCCCACAGACACCGTCCTCCTACAGACACCGTCCTCCCACAAACACCGTCCTCCCACAGACACCGTCCTCTCACAGACACCGTCCTCTCACAGACATCGTCCTCTTACAGACACCGTCCTCCCAAAGACAGAGTCCTCTCACAGACACCGTCCTCCCACAGACACCGTCCTCTCACAGACATCGCCCTCTCACAGAATCCGTCCTCACCCCTTCACACAGCGATGATGGGTTAAAACAGGGGAGGGGGGGGTGCTTAATTAATGTCTGTACCCTCAATAATGTCTAATTAATAATCCATGTCTGTGTCTCCCACCTGACCCCCCCCCCCCCCCCCCACCAAAGTAAGACACAGAAAATGGAGCCAAGAGATTTAAAAACAAGTGTCTACTGTAAACTGTCCTTCAACGAGAGACTGACTGACTGACTGACTGACGAGACGGTCCGACGTCACAGCTTCTGCGGTAAACGTTTGTGCGTATTTCTCTTCCCAGATCCAAATGCAGCCTTACGGACCGGTGACGTGAGACTGACTGACTGACTGACTGACTGATGGACTGACGGACTGACTGACTGACGGACTGACTGACGGACGGACTGACTGACTGACTGACTGACGGACTGACTGACGGACGGACTGACTGACTGACTGACGGACTGACTGACTGACGGACTGACTGACTGATGGACTGACTGACTGACTGACTGATTGACTGACGGACTGACTGACTGACTGACGGACTGACTGACGGACGGACTGACTGACTGACTGACTGACAGACTGACTGACTGACTGACGGACTGACTGACTGACTGACTGATGGACTGACTGATCTGATCACTGCAGGTAAACAAACCACAGGAGCAGACAAAGTGACAACGCCGACCGGACGTCGACAGAATGAGATTAATTTAACAGGACAGACGTGGAACAGATTAGACATAAACACGATACAGAAAGTTAATAAAGATAAAATACAAACAGGAAACACTGTTTGTTTTATCCCTGCATTCACCTGAGTTTAACCAGGAAGACTTTGCACAGGAAGCAGTCCGTCAAAATAAAGCAACGACAAATCAAAACACAGCAACAAAAACAAGCACTTCTCCGTGTCTCTGCCTTCTTAAAGATGATTGGAGGTTTTTCCATGTCAACTCTGCAAAAATGGGACGAGCCAGATCTGGAATATTAAGAGAGAACTCTATGGTGGAACGTAGCACGTAGCATCCAGAGCTAACACACCGACAAGGCCTGTTGACTGCAGTGGGTCAGTGGTGATAAAGTCATTGTATCAAAAAGTCTGTACTAAGGAGTACACTCAACTACAGAGTACTTTGTAATAAAACAAATACCAGGAGAAGAGTTTGAGACAGTGAAGAAAAGTGACAGAACAGTTAAAAAAAATCTCATTAGGAACTTACATTCAGTCAATGTTGCCTGTGTATTCTGTCCTTTCACTGGGCCGTCCGTAGCAGCTTGACCTCTCAAAGATCATGTGACAGGAAGTACTTGCACATACACGTCACATGATCTTGAAAAAGTCCCAGCTTATCCAATACATAATTCAAACACAAGAATATTGTCACTAATGTTATGGAAAGTTCGATATGGTGAAATATGTCGTCAGTTAGCTTGCCTTACAAGCACCGAGGTCACCAGTTTGCCGGTTTGATTCCCAAACATTGCACGTTTTTTTGCACGTTGATCATTCACTATAAATGAACCGTAGGTGTGAATGGGAGTGTGAACGGTGGTTTGTCACTGCATATCGACCAATGATGGACTGGTTGCAGGTTGAACTCCGCCCATACCTGACGACTCCATTGATTGGCTGCAGCGACCACCAACCCTCGAAAGTGCTGATACACCTTTAGCATTTTGAAGTTTTAATTTTTCCAGAATGTCAAAGATACTCGTTTGTAGTATTCAGTATTCAGTATCAGTGGTTTATGATACCATTTCTACTGTAGTATTTACCATAAACCCATACTCCTCACATCATACCTCTTCATTTTTTTCCATCTGAGCGTCACCTGCTTTGTAATCTGATTACTCGAAGGCAGTATTAGTGTGCATACTTAATGCAGTTTTCCTCCTTCCCTCTACTCTGTCCTTTATTCTTTTTAAATCTTGATGAGTGATGGAGGGAGGGTGGGGTTTACTCTCCTTCTTCTTCTCCTTCTTCTCCTTCCTCTTGCATGTCTGGCGGACATGCCAGGGCCATGCTAATAAATGACAGCTGATTTATGCGTCTGTATTCTTTTATTTATAAAAAATAGCACACGGGCTGATTTCTGATATTAATAATACAAGTGGATCCACTTTGATTAGGCTTCATGTGGAGAGCGGTGCATATTCAGCATTACAATTAAAGCCTCTGATGTGAAATAGGAATGACACGCTAATGAAGCGAGCTACGGGACCCTGACCCGCTACTGTCCAACAGCATTACGGCCCGTCTCCCATGAAGAGTAATTATGGAAGGAACACTGAAATGTCATTAAAAATCTTCAGTAAGTGATTTAACCCACCCTTCCTCACTAATGCTGCCAACTCGTCTTTTCTTTACCACCCACAACCCCCGCAAGATCAACTTCCAAGAATCTTTTTTTTTTTTTCACGCCAGAAAACAACTTTTCTTCAAATGTCTGCGACCTTTTTGAAGTTGAGCAAACATGAAAATAAGGTCACGGGGATTTTAAAAATACACACATGTGGTGCAGTACAAGTCGACAAAAGGGAACACACTTGTATTGTTCTAATTTAATTGCACCACCCTGTGGTGCCGGTGGTTAGTAATAGAAATCACTCCATTAGGAATTCCATTATGAATCCGTGATTAAGGTCAGATGTGGATTAGAAATTGTAGATTTCTTTTTCTTTACTCTTTTCTTTTGGTGTAAAACAACATCGAGAACCTTATGTGCCACTAACAATCATTTTATTTTGATAAGCAATTTTTTAGTTTTGTATAATATATGTGTTTTAGTAGATTTTATTTACCATATTTTATTTACCGTATTTTTAACTTTTTCCTGTTTGAAATCTCATTTTTGTCTGAACTTAACTCCAATTTTCTGCCTGAAACAAAGTTCACAATTCTCTCTTTTAAGTACATAATAGATAAATAGAGCAATATGGTAAAAAAAAGAGCTAACATTTTACCCACCATGGGGTTAATAATAGTCTTCTTGTATCATATGGTATCATATCGTGTCATATCACATCATATTGTATCGGATCATAATGTATTGTAATGTATCGTAACGTATTGTTACCTATGGTAACGCATTGTATTGTATCGTGTTGTATCATATTGTTTGTATAATTGTGTATTGTATCTTATCCGTATAGTACCATATCATATTGTATCGTATCAGAATTGATTGTATCGTATGGTATCGTATGGTATCGCATTGTATTGTATTGTATCGTATCATAATATATTGTATTGTTTTGTATCATTTTGTATCGTATGGTATCATATCATATGATATCGCTTCGTATCATATTGTGTTGTATTGTTTTGTATCGTATCGTATCATATTTTGCATCAGATAGATATATATATATCATACTGTATCGTATCCTAAGTAACTTTTATATTTTACAACCAGCACATCACTGACGGTACAAAGAACTGAGACAAGACTAAAAGAGAGGAGGAGGAGGAGGAGGAGGAGGAGGAGGAGGAGGAGGAGGAGCGGGGTTGGGGTGAGGAACAGAGAGGAATCCGGGAGATAAAGTGTGTTTGAGTGAGTGTTGTTTCTAAGAGGATTTAGTTAATCTGATTCAACCCTTTCACTCACCTGTCATGTGATCATTTTTATCTCTAAAAGCTTCACTAAGAGCCTGGAAAAGCTGATAGTGTTGTTTGTTGTAGCGCTGGTGACTGTGGAGCACAGAGTCCACCAATAATCATCTGTATCCTGTACCTTTATTGTATTCATTACTACTATTGTCTCACCTCTCTCCCCCTCTCTCCCCCCTCTCTCCCTCTCTGTGATCATGCCAGAGGCAAGAATTCATGAATATCAGCACTTTCTCACCATTTTGTTGGGTTAATCCCTTGTTTCTCTTGGAGGAAGCGGCGTTCCTCTCGCATACATTACATCGCCGCTCCTGGAACTCATTCACGCAGACTGAGAGAAGAACCAGGACCCTGTGTAGTACTGATGACTGAAGATCCAAACGCTGAGGTCACCGTTTTTTCAGCAGCAGCTTCAACAAATCTGTGAAAACCAGGAAAGGTTTTATCACTGAGGAACTGGTGGAAAAGACAGAAAAAAAAATCTTTATTGTCTATATAAATAAATAAATAAAGTATATACAGTATATAAAGTACAGTATATAAATACAGACTACAGGTGAGTAAAACTAGAATTTAAGAAAAAAAATCTTTCCAAATGTTTGGTTCGTCAAAGTCTTAAAACTACACGAATTGGTGTTCATTTCATGTTTCAACAACTATATTTTTGAACAAAGATGTTCAAAAACCGGAGACCATACACTTGGTCCTGCTTCAGTCCACGCCCCCTATGATCCTGTTGATCAAGTCGTTTTTGTGCACACATAATATTTAACAATTTACAAATACATTTTTAACCTTAAATAATCCTATTTTTTTCAGACTCTAGAACTAAAAACCCTCCACACCCAAGACCCTCCCTCATCCAAACTCGAGGTGGGCGGAGCATGTAGCTCTTCGTTAGCATTTAAAGGTAAAAGTAGAAAGTCCTTACTGTCACTACTGCCACCTAATGCAACTGGCAGTAATGCATTTAAATATATTTTCTACCAGTAAACAATCCGTTGAAAGACTTTCCAGCCTTGGTGAAAAAAAAAGAAAATAGAGACAGAGGGCAGCATTTATGCAAACAGATACATTTCTAATGATCCCTTAAAAAATGAATAAGATTTACTGTTACCTCTACCTTAGAACATTCTGGACTTCCAACCGGTCAAGCTGGACTAAATAAGGTATTATTCCCAACAAACAAAACCTGATGGCATCCCATCTGAATCCCATCTTCACACCAGTTGGCCTGGACTGGGCCTCGTGCACCCAGTCTCCCGCTCCAACCCAGTGTCAACCCAGTGTCATGCCTGGAAGCCATGCAATTATTTTTGCACTGCTCCCAACATAAACCTGGAGACTTATGCAAATTATTTAAGATGCGCTTTGGAGGGTCCGCAATTACAATAATGATGATCTCAATTAGCGTTGCCATTGCCTCGGACTATTTAGCAGGAGAGAGAGGGAGAGAGGGAGAGAGAGAGGGAGAGAGAGGAGGGAATCTTAATCAATAAACCACAAGACTGGAGATATTTACCACCTAATTCCACAAGGGGACGGTTCATAAATTGACCTAATTGGTCCAGTGTTGGAGATGAAATGAGGGGAACCGGAGCCCTGTCTAATTGAGAGGGGCGGGATGAAACGGGCGAGGTCGACTCCGTGTCAAAAACATTCTCGGGCTCGTTATGGAGTTAGAGTTTAAAGGGTTTGAATACTGTGTGTGTGTGTGTGTGTGATCACACCAAGAATTAATGTTGCGAACAACAGAGTTTCAATTTCTGGTTCAGGGTCAAACGGCTTTAAAAATGACCTCTGAGTGATGGTGACTGGACCACCGGAGGTGTATGGTGGTGTGTGTGTGTACCTGAACATTGACCTTAACCTTTTTCCTTCACAGTAAAGACACTAAATAACTCACCACTAAACACCATCTAAGCACCTTAGCTGTGACCCAGAAGGACCCCCGCCCCCTATTTTTTTAAATGACATAAGAATAAAATGCAGTTCTAAAGATTTTACAGATAAAAATAACATAAGGAGAAAATGCAGTTCTAAAGATTTTACAGATCTTAAATGTTAAAGCTTCATTTATGTTGTTATTCAAACAGAGCGGGGGTGTACGGCCCTTCTGGCCTTCCACACATGGGGTGCTCAGCACTATAGTAGCCCACCAGTGGACGGAGTCATGGACTCAGCATGTTGTCCCGGCAGGATTTTGACCTTTAAAACCAGAAGGTAGAGAAAAAAGTATATAGCTATTCCTCAGTCGAAAAGTTCTAAGATTTTAATATTTTCAACATTCAAGGTTTAAGATATCTCTGAGGCATTTCCAAAAACTTTGTCTCCAACAACTTTGACAGTTTTTGCCCCTTCAATGTTTCAAATGTAAAGAAATTACTGGTTTTTACCTCTGGTCCTTTTTGACTCACTGACACCTTTGACGATGGTTGTACCTCATGTGTAGGAACCATTTCTGGGACAAAAGTGAGTCCTGGTACTACTTTGATTTTGGGTTCTGCAGAGGAACAGACTGTACAGAGTCTCATGGGGTTCCTGGTCCTGACATTGGTTTCTGCAGGAAAAGATCGGTTCTGGTGAGAAGACTTGAAACACGATCAGCTGGTCTGACTTTCAAGATAAAGAACCGTACTCACCTT